CGCTGTCCTCCCAGCGGGCCGCGGCCATGCTGGTCTTCCCCGGGACAGCCCCAGAGGTCCGCGAGGGGTTCTCGGTTGTGCTGCCGGGCCAGGTGCTCGATCAATTAGGGCCCTGCCGCCAGCATGCTATTCATGGCGCCGAGGCATGGTGGATCGCTAAAGCCTTGGAGGTGTGGGGCAATCAAATTCCTTCGCATTGCCTCTACTGTTTTGGCGACAACGCAGCAGCGCTCGCTGGCTGCGTCCGTGGGTGCAGCGGGTCCCCGCACGTGGCCTGCGTGGTGGGCGCGGTGCACGAGCTACTGTGCCAGCGCGACATCCGGTGTTGGTTCGAATACGTGCATTCCGATTCCAACTCCCTGGGCGCAGCGCCCCGGGAAGAAGGCGAGAACGCCCTCGCCAAGCTCGGGGCCAAGGTCGTCAAAGTAACGCCCACCTCGACCGTGGAGCTGTCCAGGTACCAAGTCCTCCTCCTCCTCCTCCTTCTCCTCCTCCTCCTCCTCCCCCTCTTCCTTCTCCTCCTCCTCCTCCTCCTCCTCCTCCTCCTCCGTCTCCTTCTCCTCCTCTTCCTCCTCCTTCGTCCATCTTTTCGAGGCGCAAGATTCCAGGCCTGGGCAGAAAGGGCAACCGCCGCGGCCGGCGCCGGTGTCATCTTCATCGTCGTCGGGGTCGCGGCCGCCGTCGTCGCTGGCATCTCCCTCCTGCCTCCCTCCTCCCCCCTGGGCGGGGGATCGGGTCCAGGGCCGCCGCCGTCTTGGTGCGTGCTCGCAAGCGCGGTCGCCCGCCCGCTCGGTGCGGCTCATGGCTCCGCGCCTCCAACGCCGCTGCGCACCCCGCCGGAGATCCGGCGCCCCCGGCTGCAGCCGGCCCCCCGCGTGGCGTCCCAGGCCGCTGCCGCACGGGCCTCTCTGGGCGCACCGCGGCGCGCAGCGGCCCCGCTGGCTTCTGCGCCCGTCGCCCCAGGGCCCCGCGGGGTCGCTGGCGGCGCCGGGGGCGGCCCCGCTGGGCACACTGGCGCCGCTTCGCCAGGTGGCAGTGGCAGCGTGCACAGCTCTCCGCACACTGCCAGCGCGCCACACCGCGGGGTGCAAGCTCGGCGGTAGACAAACCTCCATTTAGCAAACCTCCCCTTATTGAAAACGGCCTGGGACCGAAATCGACGCACCTGGACCCGCAAAAATGACGGCCGCGACGCCCTCTCGCGAACCGAAAACGGCCAATTCCTTAATCGACGTGTCAGGGTAGGAGGTCGATCCACCTCCGACAAGCTAGCTTTGGCGGCGCCGCGTGCGCGCGTGGCCCCGCCGAGGCCTGGTCCACGTACTGGAGCGTGCTGGACAGTTTCTGCCGGGCCGTTGGCAGGGAAAAGGCCGACATGATGAAAGCGCTGAGCCGGGACAGAGGGTGCTCTGTAAGGCACCCCGACGGCGCGCCTCCGCGCGAGGTGCTGTAGGCCATGGTCGAAGCCCGCGCTCAGGGTGCCGATCTGCTTCGCGTAGCGGACACGGTGGCAAGACAGTGCCGTCGACGCTCTCGACGTACGCATCGCATTTGCGCATGATTGCGTGGGCGTCTGAGCTCTTAGGTGAGCCCCCGCTGGGGTGTAGTGTGCAACACATACGTAGGGTTGCTGCCGTGTGCGCGTGTGTGCCACCACGCAGCGCGGGTGGCTGAGCGCTTGGGCCATGGCGCACCAGGTGGCGGGCGTACCTTGGCAGGGCGACCACGACGCCATCTTGCGCGGGGTCCAGCGGGGCACTGTGAAGGGCAGGGCGCCTCGCTTGCCCAGGCAGCGCGCGGACAAAGCGCTGCTGAAGACCTTGCTGCGGCACGCCTTCTCGCAAGGCCGGGTCTGGTGGTGCGTTATAGCTGCACTCACGTACAACTTTTTGATGCGCATGCCGTCGGAGCTGCTTCGGCAGTATCGGCGGGGTTTGCTACAAGTCGCAGGCAATCGTTTCCTTTACGGTCCCATTCGGCGCAAGCAACGCCAGGATTTGTGCACCGCGTTTGCTTTGTGCCTCTGCAACACGGATAAGGCGCTCTGTCTGCACACGTGGCTGCCGTTGCTGGACGAGCAGGCCTGGGCGAGCGCTAATCCGCCGCTGGGTGGTTTCACGCCTGCGTCATGGACCCACGAGTTTCGCGAACACTTGGCCGCTGCAGGTGTGCCGCGGCCAGAGAAATGGTACGGCCATGACGTCCGGAGGGGCGCTGCCAGGGACGTGTTTGCAGCGTCCGGCGTTGAGGCCATGCTGTCGCGTGGTGGCTGGCGCTCCCTTGCTTCCGCGCGGCCGCATGTGTCGGGCGACGAAGTGGCAGTCGGCCTGCTCGCGCAGGGCGTCGTTGACGACAGTGGCCCTGAGAGACAGGTAGTGTTTTTGCGTGTCCTTGCCACCGCCCGTCTCTCCGCTTTGGCATCGGGCGCCGGGGGCAGACCGCGCGGCGAGGTGCCGCTGCACCTCGCTCTTGTCACTGCGTCGGTGTGTGCAACGTAAACAGAATGGAAAGGGAGCGGGCTAGCGGCCCAAGAGGGCTCCACGGGAGCCCCAAGACTGCCTCACAGGAGGCAGTCTTGGCAGATCTAAGACGGCCCAAACAAGGTCCATGAGAGCCCCTCAAATAGTGAAGACGAACGGTGTCACAGGTGATGGTATTCCTCCTCCTCCTCCTCCTCCTCCTCCTCCTCTTCCTTTTCCTTCTCATCAACATCGTATCAACTGGAGACGGGTCGAGGGGATACGGGACTGGGGACATCCCGCTGGCCAATGCTGCCAACACACCAGGGAACGAGCCAGGAATTTGCAGCACCTCGAACGTTCAGCTAGCGGGCGGACGAGGCGACGTGGCAGCTGTGCTCGGGTCGATGGCGTTGGCAGCTGCCAACATCGCAGCGATGAGCACAAGCGATGCTGGGCAAGATGCAGCGGCCCCATCCCCGCAAGCTGTCTGTGCAATCGGGCAGGCCCCTGCGGAGGAGAGCGCTTGTAGCATGCCGCTGTGGTGAAATCGACCGACGCACGACAGCCACCAGCTGTGGGTGGTGGGGCAACGGCTCTAGTGCAGCAGGTGCGGAGCGTTCGCAAGGTCGGCGCGCATGCCACAGCTGCTGGACGAGTGCGAGGAGAGGCCGAAGAACAAGCAAGTCCAGGCGTGCCTGAACAAAACTGAGAGGGGCTGGACCCCAACGCGATGGGAGCCTACGGAACGCAAATCCCGCTGGGCAACTGGAGGCCAAGCAGGACCGACAGTGCAGCGGGGGGGGGGGGGGCGAGCGCGAGCGATCCCGCTCGCCTCAGGGAGGAGGCTGGACACCCCCTCTGGTCAAGGAGGGTCCGCCTGCTACTGAGGTTCGCTCGCAGCAGTGGGTCCGAGGGCGCCCGTTTGAGCCCCGCGGGGTGGTCTGCCGCGCGCTGAGGCCCAGCGTGCGAGGAGACATACTCCCGTTGTCGGTCTCGGCAGGGTGCCCGTGGAGAGGTCCGAGCCGCATTGCGCCGACACTTGAGCGACGCCACTGCCACAGCCGAAGCTCGTTGTCGCATCCTCCTCCTCCTCCTCCTCCTCCTCCTCCTCCTCCTCCTCCTCTTCCTCCTCCTCATCATCATGATCAGCATCAGCATCAGCATCAGCATCAGCATCAGCATCAGCATCATCATCATCATCATCAGCAGCATCATCATCAGCATCATCATCAGCACTATCAGTATCAGCATCAGCTTTACCATCATCATCAGCATCATCATCGTTATCAGCATCATCGTCATCATCAATAGCATCATAATCAACATCATCATCAGCATCATAATGTTAATACGCGTCCTCATAATCGTCAACATCATCATCAATATCATCATACCATTATCATCATCGTCATCATCATCCTCGTCATCATCGTCATCATCATCACCATCAGCATCATCATCATGATCGTCATCGTCAGCATCATAATGATCACCATCATCATCATCAGCATCATCACCATCAGCAGCAGTAGCATCAACATAACAATCACCACCATCATCATCATCATCATCAGCATCATCACCATCATGATCATCACCATCATCAGAATATTGACTATCATCATCAGCATCAACATCACCAGCTGCATCATAACCAACATTAACATAATAGTGATTGTCATCATCAGCATCAACATCACCAGCAGCATCATCGTCATCATCATCATCATCATCATCATCATCATCAACACAATCAACCACGTCATTGTCGCATCATCATCATAAGAAACAAGATCATCACCATCACCATCATCATCATCATCATCATCATCATCATCACCATCAACATCGTCATCGTCATCAACATTACCGTTGTCGACATCATCATCATCGTCATCGTTGTCGTCGTAGCCATCGCCATCGACATTGTCACCGTCACCATCATCATCATCATCATCATCATCATCATCATCATCATCATCATCATCATCATCATGAGCATGGTCACCATCACCAGGACCATCATGACCATGATCATCATAATCATCATCAGCAGCATCATCATCATCAGTATACAAGCTACCAGGCTCCTCATATGCACCCTCATCCAACTTATCATCGTCATCGTCATCATGATCATGAGCAACATCAGCATCCTCCTCCTCATAATTATCATCGTCATCATCATCATCGTCATCATTATCATCATCATCCTCATCATCATCATCATCATCATCATCATCATCACCGTCATCATCACCATCATCATCATCATCGTCATCATCGTCATCATAATCATCACCACCACCACCACCGTCATCATCATCATCATCATCATCATCAGCATCATCATCATCATCATCATCATCATCATCATCATCATCATCATCATCATCATCATCATCATCATCACCATAGTCATCATCAAAAGCAGCATCATCCGCATCATCAGCATCATCCTCACCCTCGAACAGCTGCACCCAGCATGCTGGGCTGGCACGATGGCGGGACTTGCCGCAGGCAACCGGATAGACCTGCGTGACACCATGCGCCTGATTCTCCCGACTGCTGCGCTGGTAGTGCGGCCACTGCGCCAGGAGCCCCTCGATCTGCCTGCCAACGGCCGCCTCGGACTCCGTGAGCAACCAGCGCACGCGCCGCGCCGCGAGGTGCCGGCTCAGCCCGGCCACGATCAGCGCCTCGCTCCCGGCGGCCTTGACCCTCACGAGGTCGACGACCCTGCCGGGGCCCAGGCCCGGCCACTCCTCCAGGACCTCTAAGGAGCCCACAAAGGACGTACGCGCCCAACTATGTACATGAACACGGCCCCTTGACCCGCGAGACCGGCCGCGTGATACGAGTATTCGCGCAATGCGAAGTCTCGAAAACAGCGTGGATTCGTGTACGTGTACGTCCTTCTTTCGCTCCTGGACCTCGTCCAGGCAGCGCAGGCGACCCCGGCGGCCCGCGCCCCCTGCGGGAGAGGCCGGCCTGACGCGGAAGTTGGGGTTCGCGACGGGCGCGCCGTGGCCAGAGGTCGCCATGCCTCCGTGCAGAGACCGCCCGTCGCCCAGCGCCTCTGGCCATCGCTCGGACGTCCGTTCCCTGTGTTTTTTTCGGTTTCGTGCGTGGCTTTTTCGCCAAATGATCAAGGATGCTCCTCGATGGTCCTCGCCGAAAGAAAAATACACACGTCCGAGCGATGCAAGGCCTCCGCCCCCGGACATGCGACGTCCTGATTGTTTCAGGGCGGCGTCCCCGGAAGTCCCGACCCTCTCCCCGGGGCCGGCTTGTCGTCCAGGAATCATGTGTTGACGGCCCCAGGGCCCGGCGAGGGCCCCCAGGGGCCCGACGACAGCGAAGAACCGCCCGTCCGGATTTTTCTACGACGCGATATCATGTCTGGGTCCGTACAGAGACCGCACGTCGCCCAGCGCCTCCGTCACCACGTGCACCGCCCTGGAGAGCCCCGCGTCCGCGGCGCTCCGCAGCAGGCGGGCGCTCGCGGCGGCGACGGGCTCTACCTCCAGCGCTCGCGTGCTCTCCGGGCCCAGCCACCCGGCCAGCCAAAGGAGGCAATCTCCCAAGAAGCCCCCCACCTCTGCGGGCAAGATCTTTGATCCATATCCACTGCGTCTTGGAGTTTCGGGCGCCCCTTCCTCCGATACCAGGGGGGCCGTGGGTATGGATGACACAGTTTCGCCCCTCGGTGTCAGATCTTCATCCATATCCACTGCGCCGCGGCCTGCTGGCGCCCCTTCGCAGAACGTCCAAGACGGAATAGATATGGATACGAATCGTTCCCGAAACCTCCACCACCCGCAGGAGCTCGTCGGGCCCCGAGCGTGCCGCGGCCACGGCACCCGCCAGCCCGGTGAAGGCAGCCGGGCAGTGGAAGCTGGTGCGCCACCGGACGTAGTCTGAGACCACGTCATGGTCCGGCAAGACCCACATCCTCAACTGTGGCACGAAAGGGGGCGCTGACGCCGAGGGGGGAGGCTCGACGCTCACGGACACCGCAGCTGGAAGTGCCAGCTTGTCCAGGAAATGCCACACCAGATGAGTCGGCGGTCCTTCTCCAGGGAGCAGTTCCTCTACATGTGGCCCTCGCACCAGCAAGAAGCGCACCTCGTCCAACGCCAATTCCAACTCGGGCCCGAAGGAGCTGCCGCCGTTCCTGAGCCGGTCCGCGTCGGCCAGGAGCCCTGCGACCCGAGCCGGACTGCCGAAGGGGTGCGCACGCAGGCGCCGAATCATACTAGGGGAACGACAAGTGACATAAATAGGAGACCACATGCGAATCCTACCCCTACCCCCCACGATTTTTGACGGGGCGGGTGTGGTTCACTTCGCTCGAGAGCTCCCGAACGAAGTGAACCCCACCCTCCCCCTCAGAAATCGTGGGGGGTAGGGGTAGGGTTCGCATGTGGCCCCCTACATAAACATGAAAACTCGCAGGTCCGCGCGGATTTCTTGGATTCGCGCTAGACCCCCCTCCCGCGCCAGGGGCGGCGCGGGAGGCGCCGCCAGGGGGCCCCAGCGCCGATCCGAGAATTCCGCGCGGACCTCCGAGTTTTTATGCCTGTGCCATTGTTCATTCCCCAACATATCCTGTGGGAGTCCAGGGTCCCGGTGGCGGTAGAACGCGGCCAGCAGAGAGGCGTTGGCCGCGGAGCAGCTGGGTGATCGGAAGCCGAGCTGCGCGCAGTCGTCCACGCTGAGCCCGCGTGCGCGCAGGTGGCGCGCGAAGGGAGCCTCGCTGGCAGAACGTAGCGCGCCGAACAAGCCTCGGTTGTCAGTCAGCAGCCGCTGCCCGCTCGCAGCGAACGGCAGGCGCCGCAGGAGGTCCAGGGGCACTCCGAGGTGGTGCCTCCTGCTCGCAACCAGCGTGCGAGACGCGTTGGAGAACAACTCGGGCGTCTTCTGGAGCAAGAGCCGGCACGACAAGTGGACGAACGGACAGTGCTCCCTCGCACTGTCGATAGCATCAACCAATTCGGTGTCGCCCACGATGTCTCCGACGAGAAAGCCGGTGTAAAGCAGTGTGGTGGTCCAGCTCAACATGGTGGCAAAGTACATGCATCTCAAATCTCCTTCCTTGTGCGGCCAACACCGGCTGAACTTATCATGGGCCCAGGCAACTGTATCCTCGACCAGCTCCTCATAAGTCATTCCGTGCAGATGCACCCTGTCCTCACGCCGCCAACGGTCCACGTAGAAACCAGTCGAACAATAGGACGTCCAGATTGCACGGTAGCAGGCCCGTGAGACTCCGCGCCTGCCATTGCCGCGCCATGGCGCACACGGATCATCCTGCGGGTCCCTCATCGTCTCGAGCCAAGACGCCTCGGCCAAAAAATGCTGGAGCCGAACTTGCCACGGTCAGGAGGATATATAAGGATGAGGAGGAGGAGGACGAGGAGGAGGACGAGGAGGAGGAGGAAGAGGCGGCGGAGGCGGAAAAGGAGGAGGAGGCGGAGGAGGAGACGGAGGAGGAGGAGGAGGAGGAGGAGGAGGAGGAGGAGGAGGGGGGGAGGAGGCGGAGGCGGAGGCGGAGGAGGAGAAGGAGGAGGCGAAGGCGGAAAAGGAGGAGGAGGAGGCGGAGGTGGAGACGGAGGAGGAGGAGGAGGATGAGGAGGAGAAGGAGGAGGAGGAGAGGAGGAGGAGGAGGAGGAGGAGAAGGAGGAGGAGGAGAGGAGGGAGAAGGACTGCCCTGAAGGTGGGAAGGGGCAAGGCCGAGCGAGAGTGCCCGTGGGCGCTTGGAGCAGGAGGGGGGCGAGGATGGAGGAGGAAGGGGAAGAGGCGAGGAGGGAGGAGGGAGGAGGGGATTGATGAGGAAGGAGGGTGAGGAGGAGGAGGGGAGGAGGGCGAGGAGGGGGAGGAGGGAGGAGGGAGGAGGGAGGAGGGAGGAGGGCGAGGATGGAGGAGGGGAAGAGAGGGAGAGGGGAGGAGGGAGGAGAGAGGGGGATTGATGAAACGGAAGAAAGAAAGTTGTTGATGATGTTGATGATGATGATTATGATGATGATGATGACGATGACGATGACGATGATGATGATGATGATGATGATGATGATGATGATGATGATGATGATGATGATGATAAAGAGGATGTGGCTGATGATGAGGAGGATGATAGCGGTGGTGATGGTGATGGTGATGGTGAGGATGATAATGATGATGATGATGATGATGATGATGATGATGATGATGATGACGATGACGACGACGACGGTGATGATGGTGGTGGTGGTTATGGTGATGGTGATGGTGAATATGATAATGATTATGATGGTGATGACGATGCTGATGATGATGCTGAAGAGGATGAGAAATAGGAAGAAGAAAGGAGGGAGGAGGGAGGGGGATGGATGAAACGGGAGGAGGGATGATGATGATGATGATGTTGATGATGATTATGATGATGATGCTGGTGATGATGCTGATGATGATGACGGCGATGATGATGACGATGATGATGATGATGACGATGGTGGTGGTGGTGATGGTAATGGTGATGGTGGTTGTGATGATGATGATGCTAGTGATGATGATGACGATGACGATGATGATGATGATGATGATGATGACGATTATGATGATGATGATGATGATGATGATGATGATGATGATGATGATGATGATACGGATCGTAATGATGTTGGTAACAATGATGACGGTAATGATTATGATTATTACACCTGTGAACAATCCCGATCAGTGGATGGTTTGAAAATTAACGATACGGATATTGACATCGATTGTGAGATCGATTGTGGAATCGATAGTGAGGACGATTGAAAGGTCGATCATGAGACCGATAGTGAAGTCGATTCAATGAGATCGATAGTGAGATCGATCGTGAGATCGCTTGTGCGATCTATGGTGAGATCGATTGTGAGATCGATAATCAGATCGATTGTGAGATCGATAGTGAAATCGAAAGGGAGATGGGTAATGAGATCGATGGTGAGACCGATCGATCAGAAAATCGTCCAGGAGCCCAGGCACCCGAGGACTCCGCCGCCCACCGAAATTGCCCGGAACCCGGGAACTCGGAACAAGGAACCCGGGAACCTGGCCGCCCGCTGACATCGGCCTAGAACTTTCGCCAAATCCTTCAACCTCCGCTAAAACCCCTTCAATGCAAGAACTCATTGGGGAATGGTTATGCTGCTGAGGATGATGATGATGGTGATGATGATGACGATGCTGCTGATGATGATGATGATGATGATGATGATGATGATGATGATGATGATGAGGATGATGATGAGGATGAAGACGATGAAGGGGAAGTAAGGTAAGATAAGACAGCGGCCTGAAGCCAGTCGTGGGCCATCTAGTCCTCAGCCTCGAGGTCGGAGGAACTGTCGCCTCCTGCATCTGAGGCCGACTCGAACTCCTCCTCCGCTTGGGAAGGGAGGCGCGCCCTGAGGGCTTCTGCCGATGGAGGGAGGAAGAAGAGGGGAGGAAGGAGGAGGATGAGGAAGAGGTGAGGAGGGAGGATCCAAAACGGTACGAGATGCATGGTCGTGCACGGCGTAGCATGCCATAGCATGGCGGAGCATTGCGCAGTGACGCATTGCAGCGCAAAGCATGGCATCACAGGGTGGCGCAGAACAGAACGCCGCAATGCATGTCATGGCATGGGAGCACGATTCGGAACGAGCAGAAGCGCGCAAATGAGGTCAGCGCGGCAGCGGGAGCGCAATGCGGATCGAGCGGAAGCGCGGACATGAGGCCGGCGCTGCAGCGGTAGCGCGATTCGGATCGAGCGGAAGCCCCGGAATGATGCTAGCGGTGCAGCGGGAACAACAGTTGAGAAGAGACGAAAAGTTCGGATAGGAACACAAACACATACAAAGATCCAACTCGCAGGCAACCGATGTGTAAAAGCACTACGCGGAGGGCGAGCGCTCCCTCCTGGGGGTCTTCGGGGGGGAGAGGAGAGTGGTATTCACATTGAGTCATTGTGGAGAGAGGAGGAGGAGGAGGAGGAGGAGGAGGAGGAGGAGGAGGAGGAGGAGGAGGAGGAGGAGGAGGAGGAAAAGGAGGAGGAGGAGGAGGAGGAGGAGGAGGGGAAGGGAGGAGGGGAGGAGGAGGAGGAGGAGGGGAAGGATGAGAGGAGTATTAGGGCGCGTTGCTGGAATCAGTGGCATTTGTAATCGAACTGATTGTTTTTTACGTACAGCGAGATCCACTCAGGGACGGTCTGGCGATGCCCAGGTCTCACAATATTCCCCCAATGCGTTTCGCTTCAGGGTGGTCGCGGAACGATAGAAAACATAATCTCTCCCTCGGGGTAGCGATCGACGTCACGAATCATATCCGACCCCTCCCAAGCGCATGTCCTACCCTATATGTCGCCTTGCCTTACTTATCCAGCCTCTATGGGCAACATACACATGGCCTGGCGTATGTATGGCGTCACGCGCTGTCCGACAGTAGCCTGGTCTTTAACGGGCGAAGAACGGTATCAAATAACGTTTTCGCTGTCGGGGGCGCCTGTCCCTGGGCGGCTGGAAAGTTTATACCCGTACGGTGCCACCGTAGGGGTATAAGCTTTCCAGCCGCCCAGGGACAGGCGCCCCCGACAGCGAAACAATTTATGTTATACCGTTCTTCGCTCGTTGAAATCTGGCGGATGTTTGGCGTCAGCCGTTTGTCAGACTCAAGCATGGTGTGGCACGCGCCTGCCGTCAGAACTCGCCAGATGAAAGCATGATCTGCGCGATCTTCACGCGCGCTTCAGGTCTGGCGCAGCCCATGCCCCCGTGACACAACGCAGGTAGAGCAGTCCTGGGCCCCCCCCCTGTCTTAGGTCGGGCGTGTCCTCCTACAGGCATAATTTTGGAGGACACATAAAACAGATAGAATGAATAATCGAACGTTACCAGACATAGTCGAAACGCAACGTTCCCTGACTATTGCTGGTCGATTTTTGAATTTTTCGTCCTTTAGAGGGTCTGACTATTTTTGAATATTCCTCCTGTAGGGGGACAGGCTCGACGTAAAGGCAGAGCAAACCTGGGCCTTCCCCCGCCCCCCCCCCCTCCCGGTCCGAAAATCGCCCCGGTCGGCCGCCGGAGGAACGAATTTCATAGCCCCTCGAGGACCCCACTGGAGCCCGTGGCGAGGGTAGGAGAGGAGGAGGAGGAGGAGGAGGAGGAAGGAGGAGGGAGGAGGAGGAGGATGAGAGCGGAGGAGGGGGAGGAGGGGCGAGAGGAGCGAGGAGAGCGGAGGAGGAGGAGGAACGAGGAGCGAGGAGCGAGACGAGGAGCGAGGAGCGAGGAGGAAAGGAGAAGCGGAAGGGGGGAGGAGGAGGGGAGGATCGTAGGGAGGCGAGGAGCGAGGAGAGGAGGAGGAGGAGGAGGAGGAGGAGGGGAGGAGGAGGAGGAGCGAGGAGGAGGAGAAAGGAGGAGGAGGAAGGAAGGAGGTGGAAAAAGAGAGGAGAGGAGGAGGAGGAGGAGCGCGAGGAGGAGGAGGAGGAGGAGGAGGAGGAGGGAGTCTGTCGAAGCCTCGTAAAAATCCGCGCGACCCTCACCAGAGGGTGGTATGAAAGGGCGGAAGCACCATTGATACCTCTGGTAGTCCAAATAGAGCACCTCGACCGGCCACGGCCGCGCGCCCCGGCAGCGCGCTGCGGCTGAGCTGCGCCGCGCCGAGAGGCCGTCCAGCGCTGGTGGCCGCCGCCGGGCAAGTCGGGCCAGCTGCAAAGGCCCCCGGGCCCGGTGCCGCCGTGCGCGAGGGAGTCGCCGTCCGCTCTCCGCGCCGCGCCGGGTCGCCTGGCCGCGGCGCGCGGCAGCCAGCCGCCGGCCGCCGCCCGAGCCGCCGCTCGCCCCTCCAGCGTCTCCAGTGGCCCCCGTGGGCCGACACGGGCTGCTGGGGTCGCCGCCAGCTCCACGTCGGCCCCAAGCGGCTGTCGGCGCCGCCCTGCGCTAGCCCCGCCGCGCCAGCGCGTAAGTCAGCTCGGCGGCCTCGCTAACCGGTGTCGAGCCGCGCTGCTGCCGCCGCCGCGGCGGCTCCGCCCGCTAGCCGGCGGCGCGCCGCCTAGCGCAAGCCGGCCGCCTTCCGGAGCTGGCGCGCTGTTGCCGCCTGCGGGCCGCAGGACAAGACCATGTAGGCCCGCGCCAGCTCGCGCTGCTGCTCGTCTTCGGGCAAGCGCCGCACTTGCCCTAGCAGCCAGAGGCGGCCCTCGGCGCCGAGCCGCCCCCCCGCCTCGAGGACGAAGGGCGTCAGCCGGTCGCCGGGGTAGCGGGCGTGCTTCTCCCGCTCGCCGCGCCTGCTGGCCTCGCCGTCCCGGCGCGCGGCCAGCCGCAGCTCGGCCTGCGTGCCGGCTGCAGGGTGGCGGACGGAGACGTCGAGCCAGTGGGTGCCGTCGTCGTCCTGGTACTGCAGGTCCAGGATCGCGCGCTCGAGTCTGCCGTCGGGGTGCTGGCGGTCCCAAGTCGGCACTCTCAGCTCAACGAGGGGCCGCTCTCCGCGCCAGCGGTGGAGGAGACCCCCGACCCTCCGGTTGAGGCCCCCGTGTCGCGCCACCACGCCCCCGCGCACCTGGCAGGTCAGGGCATGGTAGCCGCCGTCGTCTAGTGCCCCGTGGCAGCCAGCGCCGTCGGCAGCGCGCAGGCAGCAGGCGGCCGGCGCGGTCGCTAGCTCCCGCTGGCTGAGCTCGGCGCGCGGAAGCTGCAGCCGCCGCCGCGTCCCTGCCTGCCAGAGCGCGTTTTCGAGGGAGCAGAGGTCGTCCTCCGGGTAGGCCAGAAAGGCCGCGCTGCCGCTTCCGGCTGCGCCCCGCAGCTCGGCCTGTCGGGGAGGGGGCAAGCGTCGCAGCAGAGCTGCGCGCTGGGTCCTTTGCACCTTCTCCGTGGCCAAGCCTTGCTTCAGGGGCGTCTGCAGCGCAGTCGCCAAGTCCCTCCCCGGCGCGAGCTCGAGCCCCTGGCACTGCAGTCCGCGCCGTGCCGTTTCCAGCTGCTGGGCCGCCCGCGGCAGCCGCTCCAGGCAGTCAGCCAGCGTCGCGTTGCCCTGGTCCTCTGCGACCTCCTGCGCCGCGACTGACCAGGAGGCGAGGAAGGCCGCGTGGCGCCGCGTGCCCGCCAGCTGCGCGCCGAGGAGGAGGACGAGGAGCGAGGAGGAGGAGCGAGGAGCGAGGAGGAGGAGGACGAGGAGCGAGGAGAGAGGAGAGAGGAGCGAGGAGCGAGGAGCGAGGAGCGAGGAGCGAGGAGCGAGGAGCGAGGAGGAGGAGGAGGAGGAGGAGGAGGAGGAGGAGGAGGATGAGGAAGGAGGAGGAGGAGGGAGGGAGGGGACCAGGAGTGAGGATGAGGAGCGAGGAGCGAGGAGGCGAGGAGCGCGGAGCGAGGAGCGAGGAGCGAGGAGCGAGGAGGAAGAGGAGGAGGAGGGGGAGGAGGATGAGGAGGTGGAGGAGGAGGAGGAGGCTGAGCGAGGAGCGAGGAGCGCGGAGGAGGAGGAGGAGGAGGAGGAGGAGGAAAGGAGGAGGAGGAGGAGGAGGAGGAGGAGGAGCGAGATCGAGGAGGAGGAGGATGAGGAGGAGGAGGAGGAGGGAGGAGGAGGAGGAGGAGGAGGAGGAGCGAGGAGCGAGAGGAGGAGGAGGAGGAGGAGGAGGAGGGGAGGAGGAGTAGTGAGGAGAGGAGGAGGAGGAGGAAGGAGGATGAGGAGGGGAGGAGGAGCGAGGAGAGGGAGGAGGAGGAGGAGGAGGAGGAGGAGGAGGTGAGGAGGAGGGAGGAGGAGGAGGAGGTGGAGGAGAGGAGCGAGGAGCGGGACGATGGTGAGGAACAGGAGGAGGAGGAGAGGGAGGAGTAGTAGGGAGGTAAGGAGGAGGGGAGGAGCGAGGAGCGATGAGCGGGTAGGAGTAGGGGAGGAGGAGGAGGGGGAGAGGAGGAGGAAGTGGAGGAGAGGAGGAGGAGCGAGGATCGAGGATCGAGTGAAGGGGCTGAGGAGGAGGAGGAATAGAAGAGAGGAGAGGAGGAGGAGGAGGAGGAGGAGGAGGAGGAGGAGGAGGAGGAAGAGGAAGAGGAGGAGGAGCGAGGATCGAGAAGCGAGGAGGAGGAGGATGAGGAGGAGAGATGGATAGGGGAGGGATGGATCGAGGATCGGTGGGGAAAGAAATTTTGGACAAAGTTTCTCGGGGGCTCGTGGGAGGAATCTGGGACCCTGCTTGAAACCTGTTGAAGGTCTCTGGGGGACCTCTGGGAGGTTCCCTGGGGCAAAGTAGGCGCGGCGTGGGGGCCGGTTGGAGGGTGGCTGGTTGTCCTGGACTCTGGGGGGACTCTTCAGGCCGTCCTGGTCCGTCTTGGGCCCTCTTGGGAGGCCTCTCGGGCCATCTCGAAGCCCTCTTCGTGGCCGTCTTGGATCTTGGAGCCGTCTTGAACTGGTCCTAAGAGCCAGCGCTGG